CCTGTAGCCAGTGCCACCTCTGCCTCACTGGGCCAGGAAAGCCCTTTTTTAAAAAATGTCAAAGGCAGAGAGAGAGAGAGAGAGAGAGAGAGAGAGAGAGAGATCCTTAATCTGCTGGTTCACTCCCTACATGCCCACACAGCCAGGGCTGGGGCCAGGCTGAAACCATGAGCCAGGAACTCAGAGTCTCCCACGTGGGTGGGTGGCAGGGACTTGGTTAGTTGGGGCATCCATCATCTACCGCCTCCCAGGGTGTACATTAGCAGGAAGCTGGAGTGGAAGCAGAACCAGGATTCTAACCCAGGCACTCTGATACGGAATGCTGAGGTTGCAAGTAGCCTCTTGGCTGCAGCACCAAGTTCCCACCCACGGAGGAAGCCTGGTCCCACCAGGGGTAGCTGTGCAGTGAGCAGCCCCTGTGCCTGCTCAGCCCCTCTCTCCCCAGCAGTGCAAAGAGTGATAAGCAAGGCCTGTCAGTCAGAAAGCCAGTGTGGGGACAGCCAAGGCTCTAATGAGACCGACTCGACTCGGAGAGAAGCGAGAGTGACCACGCCCAGGACTGAGTAATGTCCGAGTCAGCATGGGCTGGCCTGGAATGGCACAGTCAGAGCCCTTGCTCTCTGCTTGGCTGGCCCCACGCAGCCCACAGCCGTCCTGGGCCTGGGAGGCACCTCAGGGCCTTGGTCGCCGCCCCCTCCCGGGGTCATTCCTGCCTCTTCTTCATCCCCTCTTCCTGCCGAGCATCGGAGACTTTCTCCAGGTCCCCTGGAGGAAATTCCTGCCTCTGGAGGGGCCGCCCTCATGATGCTCCTGGTGCCCTTACAAGGCCAGGTGGTGCCGGGGGCACTTGTCCAGGAGGCGACCGCTTCTGAAACCTGGGAAACAGCTCCCGCATGGGGAGTGTGGGTGCCCCGGGAGCGCCTCCTCCCTCTTCCCAGAGTCCTCCATGTAGACCCCGCAAGTGAGGAGCACCTGCTTCCGTGAGGCACTGGAGCTGGGCCCCCCTCACGGGGACTGCAGTGGAGTGTGCAGACGGCGCTGCACTCGACAGAGCTGGCAGCCGCTTCAAAACCAGAGCTGCCATGGACTGGGCACAGACCGTGCCGGACCCTACCCCGCGCGCCTTGTGAGCCGTCCGTTTTCATTCTCCCAGCATGCCTGAAGCAGTACTGCTCTTGCTGATAGTTTACCCAGGAAAGTGAGGCTCACAGGGGTCACATAAGCTGCTCAGGGTCACACGGTAGGGGAGTGGTGGCGCCGAGCGTGAGTCCAACTCCATGCCCAATGTCTGTGTTCCTAACAGCTGTCGGAAGCTGCCCTGCGTGGACGCCAGGGTGATACAGTCAGTGCTGGGAGCAGAGCAAAGGGCGGCTGATGCAGGATTCAGAGCCTGGAGAACTGCAGGGTGAGAAGAGGAAGGCACAGAGCGGGAAGGAGGAATGTGGCCTGGGCTCAGCCATGAATATCTGTTGGTGCCACTGGAAGCTTGATGCTGAGAGGGCTTTTAGAGGATCCCTGTAGTAACCTCAAAGCTGCACCCAGCTCTCCCCTCTGACCCACTGTCCCTGCCCCCGGGGCCAGCCAGCCCTTCCGCTGGCTCCCAAGGGCTCTGGCCCCCTTCGCCTGCCCCCTGTGTCACGGTACTCTGGCCATGTCTTCTCCATCCGCCTCCTGGCTGCATGAACTTGGCTTTCAGCAGCCTGCACCTGTGGCTTCCTAGGAGGCTGTCTCGGTGCCAACGAAGCTGCTTTTACCCTTCAGCAGCGGAAGTGCTGGGAAGGCCTAGCCCCTCAAGGCTACCCGTGGGCCATGACGGACACCATATAAAAACTCAGCCCCCCAGGCCCAAGCTGCTACAAGCTCCCAGGTGTTGTTTCCACTCGGAGCTCCACAGGACCAGGCTGGAGCCAGGCTTCAGGGGAGTCCCACCTTTGCTTGGCTCCTCCACGCCGCATCCACTCCCTCAGTGCCTGGCGACTTCTTGTTGCGACACTGCCTTTGTGCACAAGCCCTCATCTCAGGGCCCACTCTGGACCCCAGCTTTCGCCAGCTTGGCTGTGATGTTCCACCACCATCTCTGGGGACTCTAAGTTGGATTGAACTGACCAGGCCCCAACCAACCTGACACTCCAGCACCTTTGCTGGGTCAAAGAACCCCAAAAGGAAGAGGGAGATTCCAGCAGGTGCGATTCTCACAGGGGTCGCCTCCCCTGGGAAACCATGTTTCCCAGTGTTTCAAGGAAGGGTGCTCTACTGAGAAGACCCACCATGGGACACAGGACTCCCTCCATGGGGATCCCGCATCACCCTCTGCACCTGCACACATGGACACACACACACACACACTCGTCCCTGCCCACTGTATCCTCTCATCCACGCACTGACCTCAGTCCAGGCCGGCTGGGTCAGGTGAATTGTTGTAAACCAGGCTCGGGCTTATGAATTTGTGAGTTTTCATTCTTGGGTCCTGGCTGGCAGCCTGATCGAGGGAACCACCAGCTCAGACTGCAGGAAAAGTGGTGGAGCTGTGGGAAGGGAAGCGAGGTGCCCCAGGGCCTGGAGACCTGCGGGACAGCAGCGGGCCACGCCCCTGCTCAGGAGTCACCTGACTCTCACTCCACACCTGCTCCTGCTCCGAGAATGTGACCTGCTGCCTGGGGAATGCAGGTGCCTCCCTCCTCAGCCTTGTCCCAGAAGAACAGCTGTAGCGCCGCGGTGGGGGGGGGGGGGGGAGGCCTCCTTTCCTCATTCCCGGAGCTGTGGCAACCCCCTCCCTGCATGGAGGCAGGGATGGTCCTGGCCAGAGTTCATCATCACAGATCAGGAATGTGCTTCCTCCTCTCAGTAGGGCAAGGCCCGGGACAACGCAAGTTTTCCCTAGCCCCGTCAGCACTTCCCCTGCTACTTCTTTCCCCCACAGCCAAGTTCAAGCCTCAAGGTGGGCTGAGAAAATCTCCAGCAGGGGAGGCAGAGTTCCCAGGGGGAAATTTTTCTGCACTCACGAAAAGCAGCAAGGTTGGTGATTCTCTCAGCAATAACACAATCCACCCTTAGGGCCACTGTGGACAGTTGTGTGGATTGTACACTGCACAAATATGCCCCGTTGAGGGCATGTGCCAAAGCTGAAATTCACTAGAGCTCTACTTCCTAGGCTGTGTGTTGCGTGTGCTGGTGAGGGACTGTAACCTGTGCCTTTTAAAAATCTGCACAAAGACATCACTGGGCTGTGGGCCCAGCAGGGGCAGCCTTTCCCCATATGCGCAGGCTTGCCAGGCCAGCTTCTCAGCTTCTTCGGCCTGAACGGGCTCTCACCTTTGCCCATCCTCTCAAGGCAGCACCTTTCCCCTGGGTCAGAGGGCAGCGTGGCAGGAGCAGAGGCCCCCGGCCTGTCCCTGCCCTTGAGAAGATAACACCCACGGGCCTTGTTGAGCTCACGCCCTCAGTGCACGCAGCCCCAGCCACCGTACACAGAGCCGGCCAAGCTAGCTTGTCACCCACTCGGCCTGGGCTCCCTGCTTTTCTTCCCACGGTGGCCAGCAAGATGGTGTCTCACAAAGCCCCACCCTGGGAGAGTCACAGAGGTGGTCCGGTCCTTGGTCTGCCCCTGCTGAAAGCTTAGGAAATGGCAGGTGGGCCGCGGGGCTGGGCCTGGCTCCCTGGCCCCTCACTCTTCCCTTGGTTCGCAGCACGGGGTCTCCTCCACGGGGCTGAGAGGTGACTGAAGCCTCCCCGTGGGGGCAGTGCCCCGCCCTGTGGCATCTGGGGAGCACCTGCTGGGGTAGATGGCCTGCTGGGCTCCCCTTGCACGTCTCTCTCCGAGTCTCTGCTCCTTCTCTCGCCCTTCTCTCTGCTGCTTCTCCCCTCCGCTGTTTGCCTCGTGTTGCTGGAGTGCCTCAGATTGAACTCGGAAGTCCCCTGCTGGGCTCGCTTCCCTGGGTCCACCTGAGAGGTGGAGGCAGGATAGGGGATTTGGAGCCAGTGTGGCCTTCCAAGTAGGGCCCACCTGCAACCCCAGGCTTCACCTGGAGCTGCTCGTCCTCAATGTGACCAGAAGCATTGTGTACCCTGGGTCGGGGGCACTGCCAAGGTCACGACCAAGCCCCTGCCCGCTCATGTGTAGTGTTAGCTTAGTGGGATGAGAGGCAGGGCTCAGACAGACCCTGACCTTGGTTTGTACTCAGAAATACCGTTCACCAATAAAAGGAAACAGGGTACTCAGGAAAATAGCCCATTCGAGGCCTGGAGCAGAGAAAGTACAAGACCTGGAATATCTTGTGCCCGAGAGCCAGGTAGAGATCAAAGAACAACAGGGACAGTGAAAAGGACACAGCCTGCTTTAGGGGCCTCCCACTGCACATGTCTGGGACAATTGGAGCAACAAAGTAGTGATAATAATGGTTTATAATCTTTAATAAGATAAGAATCTTTGAGTTCATACTGATAGGAATAAATGAATACATGGAATTACGCAAATCAGGTTACTCACACAGCCACAGAGTCCTCCCCACACAATGCTTGTGAATCACCAAGGGAGATGGGACAATTTACAACAGAGGCTGGTAGACACCCCTCGATCCAGTAATGCAGGTGGATGTCACCAGGAACGAGACAAACAAATCACTTGCCACCCGGTAAGGTGCAATGGCCAGAGCAAATGTCATTGCTATCCTGTGTGACTTCGCAAGGGGTAAAACCTGGATCTCTCGGTGTGGGGATGTGAAGTCAACCTGAATTCTACCAAACCTGCGATTTCCCACCATGTCAGCATCGTGCAAGTGAAGAAGGTGGAGGAAACTAAAGGGACTTGGTGGCTCCATGCAGTGCTGGTCCTGGCCTGAGTGCTTTCCTGCCCAGAACATCTCTGGGACATTAAGGTCTAAGAGTTACAGGCAGCATTACAGTGACTGACTGACCTCAGTGGTTGCTTATGGTTATTACGTAGGAAACAGCCAATTAAGCAGTCAGGGGAGGTGGTGCACCGTGTTCTAAACATAAGCTCAATACTCTGGTTTCTCTTCAGATCGTATAAATCTTTCGCCTTTTACTAAAGATAAACGTAAGCTCAGTTGTTTCAGGGTAGAACACTAATGTTCTTGCAACTATTCTTCAAATTTGAGATTCTTTGCCAAAATATGTGTTAATTTTCAAGTTCGTAAGGTGAAGCCCCACTCTTGCAATCAAATTTAGACCTCCTTTCAAGAAGTTTAGGTGCAAGGAAGTTGTTTTGTTTGTTTTAAGAAAGTATTGTTTTAGTTATTTGAAAAAGACGTACACACACACACACACACACACATCTTCTATCCACTGGATCAATCCCCAAATGCCTGCAGCAGCCAGGCTTGGGCCAGGCAGAAGTCAAGAGCCTAGGATGAAGCTGGGTCTCCCACTTGGGTGGCAGGGACCCAACTGCTTGAGACATCACGTGCTGTTGCAGGGCGTGCATTAGCAGGATGCTGGAATGGAGAGCACAGATGGGACTCAAACCCCAGCACGCCCATGTGGGATGCAGGTGTCTCAGACAGTGGCTTAACCTGCTGTACCAAACATCAACACAAGTCCGGGATTTTACTTGGTCACAGACTCAGTATCTATATGAATAATATACAGTGATAATATATGAGGGGTCTTCAAAAAGTTCATAAAAATATGCATACTTAGAAAAAAAGTTTATCACAAGATAAACTTATCTTTTAACTCCATTTTTCCATGAATGTTTTGAGATTCCCTTGTGTTGCTGAAATGTAGGAATAGTCAGTTGCGTTAGATTATGAGGGAAAGCAGGGACTGGTCTGTTTCATTTAGGTTTGACTGACCCTTGAAGAACTTGGGTTTGAACTATGAAGGTACACTTATATATGGATTTTGGGGAGGAGATTTGCAACAATTTGAAAAAAAAAAAACTCACAAAGCACACAGCCTAGAAATGATGAAAGAATTAAGAAAAAATTAGGCGCATCATAGATGCATAAAATGTATATACATAGAAGTCTATTTTAACATCTATTGCCATAGAATGTTCATAAACCTATTATAAAAATTATCAAAACTCACACATACACAGACTAAACATGATGCCATGTGAGAAGCATAAACAAGCATAACGATGCAGTAGTAAGACATCACTGCCTAAAATTCACTGCAGCCCCTACTGTACAACTGGACTGGGTCTGTAGCCACCTCCTGTTGCTGCTGGGTGAGCTCAAGCACTACTTGAACTGCCATGAGATGCGATCAGTCTCCAAGTGAGCATTCTTCTCTCCAGTAAATTGTGTATTGCACTAAGAAGTGTTCTCTTGCAGTTCTCATGTGTCTTTCACCATATGTAATACATATGTCACACAAAATATGTGTTAACCTACCCTTTGTGTTGTCTGTAAGGCTTCTGGTCAAAAGCAGGCTATTTTTTCTCTTTCCCTCATACTCATGAGATAGCTGCCCCATCAAATCTACTTTCTAGAGAGCAAGAAAGGGTGAAATGACCATGTTACTAGCATCTATCACTTCAATTTAAAAAGCAAGAACTTTCCTAGGGGTTGGTGTTGTGGTGTAATGGGTTAAGCCACCACCTGCAATGCCAGCAAGTCCAGGCTGCTGCACTTCCAATCCCTGCTAATAGCCTGGGAAAGCAGCAGAAGATGGCCCAGGTGTTTGTGCCCCTGCACCCATGCGGAAGACTTGAAAGAAGCTCCTGGCTCCTGCTTCAGCCTGGCCCAGCCCTGGTTATTGTGGCCACCTGGGATGTGAACCAGCAGATGGAATATGTCTCTTTATTTTCCCCACCCCGAAAATAAATAATTTTTTTTAAAAAATGTACAAAAAAAAGAACTTTCCCACAAGTCCCCCATTGGGTCCCTGCTTACGTGTCAATGGTTAGACCTGGGTCCCGTGGCTAACCCCAGTTACAGGGAAGATTGGGAAAGGAGGTGTTCGGTTTTCTACTTTTTACTTTGGAGATGGCCCGAGAGAAAGGATTGCAACTATCTGCTGACCTAGCTGATGGGCAACGTTCACCATAGATGGGCTCTGACAAAGCCAACGTGTCCAGCGGAACACAATTAGGGTGCTAAGGGTGAGAATAGCGGATCAGAGTAGGAACAGCAGAAGGAACTAAGACGTCTAGGCTGAAACAAACAAACAGGAGGCTGTGGCGGCCACCTTACAGATTTGTCAGAGGAAGGGGCACTTACCCTGCACAGCAATGGCAGATGAGAGTGGGGAGCAGGTGGGAGGCACACAGGACGCCCCAGGCTTAGACTGCCCTGCCCGTTGCGGAGCCGGCCCTGTGGAATGGGCTATTTTGTGAGGAAGGGAGTAGCCAGCAGTTTCTAGACTGTCACACATCAGGGACAGCCTCTGTGGCATGTGACGTTGGGGTGAAGAATCTTTTCGATGGACACCTAAAACAGGCTACCTTTATACAAATGAGGTTTAGCAGCTGGCACTGTGGCATAGTTGGTAAGGCTGCCTCCTCCTATGATGCTGGAATCCACAATGGGCATTGGTTCAAGTCCTGGCTGTTTCACTTCCCATCCAGCTCCCTGCTAATGATCCGGGAAAGCAGCCGGAGATGGCTCAAGTGCTTGGGCCCCTCACCTACTTGGGAGATCAGAATGAAGCTCTTGGCTCCTGGCTTTGGATCAGCCCTGCCCTGGCGGTTGTGGCCACTTAGGGAGTGGACCAGCAGATGGAAGATCTCTTTGTAATCCTGACTTTCAAATAAATAAATTAAAAAAAAAAAAAAAAACGAGGATCAGAGATAGGTGTTTAGCCTAGCAATTAAGACGCTGGTTGAGAAACCAGCATTCCACGTCAGGGTGCCTGGATTCAACTCCCTGCTCTGGCTCCTGAATCCATCACCCTAGGAGGTGAAGGTGATGATGGCTCGAGTAATTGACTCAAGTAACTGCCACCCTGGGGGAGATCTGGATGGAGTTCCCAGCTCTTGGCTTCAGCCTGGCCCAGTCATAGCTGTTGTAGGCATTTGGAGGAGTGAACCAGCAGATGGAAGCTAGAGTTCTTGCTCTCTCTCTCTCTCTCTCTCTCTCACTGTATCTTCCTGTCAGATAATTTTTTTGGCCTGAAAGGCACAACACCAACAATTGGAAAGGCTTGGTGGCCTTGAGGATCATTGACCCCTTGGCTCTCCAGGAGACAGGTCCGGAGCATGTAGAAGGGGTGGGGTGGCGGTCCTGGCTGTCAGTGATGGGGGCGTGTGTGTGAGGTAGAGGAAGCCCACTGCCACTCCTGTCGCATCCCTTTTTACATGTTACAAGTGGCACTGCACTGGGCACACACAGGATGGGAGCTGACACACGGCTCCAGCCCAAGCCTGCAGTGAATGGTGGATTGCCCAGAGCTTTCGTCCATGATGAGTGAGAATCACTAGATCAGCATGACCACAACATTCCAGTTGCCCAGTCTCCCGTGGGCACTGCAGCAGCCAAGGAGTGCCATCCACTCGCCAAGTCTCCGTCCTGGCAGCGAGGCCTGGCCCCAGTTCCAGGGAGCCACCCCAGATGTGCAGAAAAGCAGTTCTGCAGAGCAGTCACGTGAGGGGCGAAGCCACTCGACTGGATCTAAGGTTTCCCAGGCTCTGCTAGGACTGAGCACCTCTGGGAGGAGGCCCCATGGCAGGGCCTACAGAGGGTGGCATTGGACATGTAGTAGTTTTCCCCTCTCTGTTGGAGGGTAGGGCCCATACCCGGGAGTTGCCAGAGGGAGAAGGAAATCCCATGGATTTTTCTCAGTGATAGTCACAGAATGGTTGTGCCTTTTTAAGGATTTCCAGAAATTCTTGGAAGACGCTGTGGAGCAGACAGAAGCGATTGGAGGATAAGGGGCTGAGGTCCGGCAATTCCACTCTATTTGAGAATCACAAGTTTGATTTCCTTTTACAACTCTACACATTTAGTTAGGCGATTTTTAAAAGCCCTACGTGCTATGACTGTTTTTTTTTTAAGATTTTATTTAATTGTAAGGCAGAGTTACAGAGAGAGAGAGAAACAGAGAGAGAGGGATCCTCCATCTGCTTGTTCACTCTGCAAATGGCCACAATGTCCAGGGCTAGACCCGACTGGAGCCAGGAGCCAGGAGCTTCACGCTGGGCTCTCATGTGGGTGCAGAGACTCAAACACTTGGGTCAACTGCTGCTGCTTTCCTAGGCACATTAGCAGGGAGCTGAATTGGAAATGTAGCAGCAGAGACTTGAACTGGCACCCATATGGGATGCTGGCACTGCAGGCAGCAGCTTAACCTGCTCTGCCACGGTGCCAGGCCCAACTCTGACTATTCTTGTATACTCTTATCCATACAAGTATTTGCACAGCAAGATATGTTCCAAGTCTGTTTTAAAATAAATAGTACATCATAACTAACTAACACCTGAGGTCCATAGTTGCTTATTGATTGTGTTTCTATTTTTCTGAAAAGTGAAATTCACATCAGGTAACATGTATAGATCAAAATGTTCTATCTGATGAGTTTGAAGAGATACATACAGCTGTGTCCCCACCACCCAAACAAGACAAGAACTGTTTCCACTGTGCCCTCCAGTTACACCCAGGCCCACGGGCTACCACTGAGCTTATTTCTTTTCGTGCTTTATTATTCTATTTTAAGGTAGAAAGGAGGAAGGTGGGGTGGTACTAACTCCCATCCTCTGGTTTACTTCCAAAATGACTGCAACAGCTGGAGTTGGGCCAGGCCAAAGCAAGGACTCCCATGTGGGTGACAGTGACTCACGTACTTCAGACGTGGCTTTCTGCCTCCCGGGCTGCACAAGAGCAGGAAGCTAGAACTGGGAGCAGAGCTGGGACTTGAACCCAGGCACTCTGATCTGTGACCCAGGCATCCCAGGCAGCTTACTGCTCTGCCAAACACCTGCCTCACACTGTTCTCATTTCTACCACCATGGGTTGGTTTTTCAGGGTTCAAAATTTCATTTTAATGGAATTCTACACTATTTACTCCTTTATAGCTGGCTGTTTGCACTGCATTGTTTAGGGATACATCTGTGTTGTGATGGATATCAATAGTTCGTTCTTCTTTGTTGCTGAGTGTATTTTTTATAATCCATCATCGTAAGGATGAATAGTTTATCTGTTCTCCTGATGATGGA